CCTGCAGCGCTGTGCGGAAGCCGTCGGCGCTCAGCGCCCCCAAGCGCACCTCGGCGGCGCGCGCTTCTCGCATGCCGGAGCGGAAGAGGCCGCGGAAGAAGCCACAGTGCTCCACTAGCAGGCCCTGCTCAGCCTGGAACAACTGGCCGCCCACCCACACCTGCACGGTGGACCTCGGGGCCCCGCGGCATGCTGGGCCACCGGCGCTGGGGCTCCCCCGCGACAGAACAACTTCCCCGGGGATATAAATACCTCCCTGGCTAAAGATAGTATGGCTCATGTGATATAGTGGCCACTGGCCTGGAGGGCATCTGGAAACCTGTGAGGTCACTCTGATGGGAGAAGTAGTTACACCGGTGACCACATACTGAGCACCTACTGCATGCGGGGCTCTGCAGCTGCCTCTTGCACGGATAGCCTGGTTGCACAAATAGCCCAATTGCCTCTCACCCTGTGCCCTTTTGCAAAGCAAGGGTCCGAACTCCTTCCTGGCCTTACTTGCCTTCAAAGTGACAGCTGTTGCACAAGATTGGAACGGTATCTGCAAAGCATCTTGAGTGAGGTTCACTTTGAGTGGCTTGTTCGGGGGGGATTCAATGAGAAGAGAGAACAGGATTCATACCCAGCCCAGGCCATTGGCTCAGAGGTGGGCCGGGCAGAAGGTGAGTAAGATGAGTGATCCGCATCCAGTTATGATGTGTTCTGAGCCTCTGCCCCTGCCTCTAGGTGAGCCGGATGCTTTTGTGAGCCTCGGTGTTGTTTGTGTAAAAGGGAGGGAGTAGCATAGCATCTCTGCTTTGCAGAAGAGTGGCCAATGAGCTGTATGTGCAAATAATCCCCGATGGGATGAGGTGAGCAGCTGGTGTCTGTTGTCCATTTGCCAGACCCCTTATGTGTGGTTCTGGACCTTAGGAGAGGGAAAATGGGAGAGTGGGAGGCTATGTGCCTGAAGATAGCGAGAAGAGTTCTTAAAATAATCACAGCTAACTTTTTCCTTTTTGGTGGTGGTGGTGGTGCTAGGAATTGAACACAGGACCTTCACACAGAGCTACATCCCCAGCCCTTTATAGTTTTAAAAAATTATTGGCCCAGGGATTTGGCTCCGTGGTTCTGGTGCCTGCCTCGCAAGTACAAGGACCTGAGTTTGATCCCCGGGATCAAAAAAAAATATATATATACATATATATATATATATGTATATATATTTATTTTTATTGTGATATAGGGTCTTACTGAGTCACTAAATTGCCTATGCTGGGATTGAATTTGTAATCCTCCTGCCTTATCTTCCCAGAGAGCTAAGATGCAGTAGGCTTGTACCATGACACATTGGCTTGAATTGTTTTGTTTTGTCTTTTTGGGTACCAGAGGTCGAACTTACACTTACACTTGGGACCTTACACTTGGGAGGCAGGCAGATGAACCACTGAGCTAAATCCCTAGCCCTGAATTGGTTATTATTAATGGCTGTTTTATAGGTGAAGATAACTAGAGACTAAGAGGTTTGGTCACATGGCCCAAGAGCAACAGAACTAGGACTGGAAGCAGTCAGTTTGAATCTAGACCAGGGGTAGCAAACCTATTGCATGCATGCTGCAGCCAGCTGTTTGTTATCAGTGAAAGCTCTAAAAGGTTCACCATCACTGGTCTAGAGTGTGTGCCCCTAACCACTGTGGTCTGCTGCCTCCCTGTGCTACAGATGCTGGGCAGTTAGATGGAGCCTCAGGCCCACGGGTCCAAACCTTTCATTTACTGCCAGGGATCGGGGCAGAGGGAAAGGGAATGACCCATGCCTCCTGCTACTCAGTCCATGGCAGAACTTTCTTAGATGGTCAGCTAAGACTTTGGGTCCCACAGTATCAGGTGGAAAGGAGTTTGTGATCATCTCCTGCCACTTGGAAACTGAGGCCCAGAGCCTCACGGGACAGTGACTGCCATTTCGGAGATGTTCACCTCCACAGGATGAGGATGGAGTGGCTCAGAGGGCCGAGCAGGAGACAGGAGGAGGACGGGAACATCCCACGCCCTCAAGACTCCTGAAGACCCCAGCAATTTGCCTCCCACCCAAGTGGGGCCGGCATGTGGGGGACTGGGAAGCTAGAGGCCAGAAGCAGCCAGAAATATCTCCAATATTCTGCCCCAGGGACCAGACAGGAAGAGGCAGCATCAGGGGAGTAGGCGGGAATCCTTATGAATACTGTGCCAGGCCCTCTGCCAGCTTCTCATCTTCCCTGAAGCCTGGCACTGGCTGAAAGGGCCTGGAAGGTCCAGGCAGTGGGCATGACACCCTCTCTTGAACACAGGTGGGGGCTCTGCAGTGCCTGGTTCCAATTACCCTTGCCAGAGGCTGTGATATTGGGCAGAGGTCTGCCTGCCCCAGCTCACAGAGGAAGAGAGGAAGCTCTTCCTGACTAGGAATGGGACCAGAGACTGAACAGAGTCCCATGCACTGACCCTTGGCTCTGCTTCCCGGCCAAGCTGGGCCATGTCTTGTAACCTGTACTACTGGTAGCCTTGCTGCTTGGTGCAAGGCTCACGTAAGGGGGGAAGGCGAGGGAGGGCCGCTGGGGGATATAGTTCTTGTCCAGATGGCTGCATCATACAACTGGTAGCTGCCAGACACAACTGGAAGGAGCTGTCACTGGCTCTGCAGGCCCAGCGGCAAAGGGAGTGATCCAGGAAGAAGCTGCTGCCTACTAGGCTCCATGGGTCCCCAGGCCCAGCCCCACTAAGTGGATGGGGCCTGGTGCCCACCCCTATCTCCACCTCCAGCAGCCAGGCTCCTGAAGAGGGTCACTGAGGTGGGAGGCGTGGCTGTGGGGCGGGGCGGGGTGAGAAGCAACCTTTGGTTCCACCCAGAGCCACTGTGGTTGCAGCCTGCAGCTGGGAGCGTTTCCTCCTCCCTGACGCGGAGCGTCCCTCTGGGACTTGGAGAGTATGTGGCAGCATCCTGGCTGTGGGCGGCCCACGGAGTTCCCAGGCCCTGACGACCCCGCGTTCCCTCCTTCTCCACTGTGACCCCTGCCACGTTGTGGGAGGAGGGGGTTGGGGCCAGGAAAGGAATCCGCATCAGACTGAGCCTTTCTACAGCACAGTCCCAGCTTTGTTCGTCTGAGTCTGTCCACACGGCTTGCACACAGTAGGGGTCTGTTAAGTGGGACTCTGGTCCTATCCTGGTGGAGGTCCTGATCAGATGGAAACTGTCCCAGGGGAACCTCCAGTCCTACGGAGGAGACAGCCCTTACTCTGGGAGCCTCCTCCCCAAGTGTGATGGAGGAGCCCTGGCTGGTTCCACTCATGATGAAGTTTCTGCCCACAGGGCGGTGAGTAGCTTGCAATTCCAGACATGCAGAAGGAAGAGCACCAGATGAGGAGTCAGAATTCCTGCCTGGACTTTGTGTGTCTGTGTTCCTGGAGATTGAACCCAGGACCTGTGGGCTGACCCACACCCCAACCCCTTTTTAAATGTTTCTGTTTAGTCCCTACACTGCCCAGGCTTGACCAAAACTGGAAATCCTCCTGCCTCAGTCTCCCATGAGTGTTGGGGTCACAGGTGTGCACCACCACACCCGGGTCTAGCCTGCACTTTGACTTGGCTTGCAAAAGCTCCCCAGCCCCTGCACGTCTTCGTTCTGCATCTGGAAAGTGGAGTTTCGATCTGACTTCTAGAATTCTGTCCAGCTTTGACATCTGAACTTATCCTCACACTACCACAGGAGTGGTTGTCCTGTCTCTGGGAAAGGCAGTGGCATCGCAAAGGCTTGCTCAAGCTTAGCTTTCTTGTTGCTGTCTTTCTTGTTTCTTCTTCTTGTTGCTGAAGCTGTTGGAGCTTCAGGAAGACCTCATACAAGCTGCAGTTCACGTGAGGGACATGTATCAGTGACCTGGGGGTCGGGAGGAGAAATGCAGCTGCTTGCCCTATCAGAATGACCTCTTTCCAGAACTCAAGGGTCCAAACTTCCGCTCTCTAAATTTCTGCACACTGAATTCTTGGTCAGTGGGTGAGAGCTGTGTGTTACTGGTACAGATGGAGCACAGGGAACTCTCCGTTGCTTTTGGGGGCCCTGAGTCAAGCTCTAGGTATGGTACTTCTTTGCTCCTTAACCCTTCACAATCTCCCTATTTTACTGATGAGGAATTGAGGCCCAGAGGGCCAGGTAGCTTATTCAAGGGCTTGATTTCCAAGGCCTTTCCAGGCCACTGTGGGCAGCTGGAGAAGGAGAGGAGACTGAGGGTGAGGACAGGGAGTGGTGGCAGCTGTGAGGTGGACACTTGTCTTCCCAAGCCTGACTTTGATCAGGGGCAGACTGAGCTGTTGGCTGCAACTTGCACTGCACAAGGTAGCAGAGCTCAAGTGCACAGGCCCTGAGCATGTCCCCAGCTTGTCTTTTGCCCTGAGGCCCTCTGGTGACATTGGATCTCTGCCCTAGTCCCTGCTAGGAACTGGTCTGTTCGCATAGGACAGTGGCCAGCCCAACAGCTCTGACTTAGGCTGTGATGGAAACAAATTCCTCCTGGTACCTTAGAGTCTTAGTAACACAGGTGGTTTACTGTGATTACCCAAGCTTAGTTCTGCGGAGTCAAAATTCATGTCCAGTCCAGGAAACGTTTTCCTTGTTACCACCCTGTGCAGGCCTGGGCTGCCATGCCTTCTCCTGTGGATGGGTGGATAGTCAGCTGGCTATCGGGGGACAGGGCATGGGGTAATGAGGCTCCTGTCCCCTTCTGGGCTCCAACCAGTCCAGAAGGCAGGCTGATTCTGTCACTCTTAGTCCAGAGTCAGCATTTTAGATTTATTTCCCATTTCCTTTATGATTTACAGCTGGGGACACCAAAGCCCTGGGAAGCGAGGGGACTCACCCAAGGTCACCCAGGGGAAGGCGCGCACACTAGATCTGAAGTGTGTGGGTTCTTGGTGAGGCCCCTGCCCTGTCTCCAGCATGACCAGGTTTATCCTGAAGCCCAAAGGAATGGCCAGGTGACTGTCAGGCTCACCAGCAATCCCACAATCGCTGTAGGCAGGACCGGGGTGCCAGGTTTTAGAACAAATGCCCCATTTACACAGCAGACCATTAACACACGCACCTCATTAGCTCCCATCAGGGAGAAACAGTAACCCCAGTGGATTAGATGTCTGGAAGCTGAATCCATATGGACCTTGAAGTCTTAGAAGGGAGGCGCTCAACCCTCTTTCCAGAAGCCTGGCTTCTGCAGTGATGTCAGGTAAGGGTTCCCGCACCCAAGGGCCGGGCTGGGGGCGTAGAGGGCTGAGGCTGTGCTCTAAAAGCGCCAGGAACTGGGTCGAGCTGGGAGGCTTCCCGAAGGAGGAGGCGGCGGGACGGGTGGTCTGAAAGGAAGGGGTGGGTTTTCTTGCTGGTGGGAAGCGGCCCAGGTAAAGGATGTAAACACTCTGTCTCTGTATCCCCTCATCCGACATCGCGCCTTCTCGGGTCCTTAGCTGCCGAGTCTGGGTCACCGGAACCCCCTGCCTGCGCCAGGGCCGGATGAGCCCTTAAAAGGAGCTCGCGGGCTCGGCCCCGCCCGGAGCCCCTCCCCACCCCGCGGGGCG